CGCCGCGGCAGCCGGCCTCGCCCGCCTGCCGCTGCTTGCTTGCGGGGCTTGTGCTCCGCCCCTGGCGCCACTCGGGACCATTTGCAGCGCTGCTGCACCTGCTGCGGAGCCCTTTAAACGTGCAACCATATCGCTGTCACCTCCCCATATGCCCTCATTGTCCCTTCTGCGCCTCCATCATCCCCCCTTCAGGCACCACTGAGCACCACTACGGCCACTTCTGCCCCCTGGTGGGCCGCAACGTGCGCAGCGAGGTCTTCCCCCACATAGAAGCGTTCATGTCGGAGTTTGACACCGCCCCCACCGCCGCCCCCCGCGGCTCGCCGCCGCCGCCTCCCCTGCCCGTGGCCGTGGATGGGCTGCGGCCCGGCGCCCTCTAGTGGCCCTACCACCCCCGCCAGGCCGCGGTCGGTGGGCAGGGGGCGGGCGCTGTGGCGGCCGGCGGCGTCGGCGTCGGACCCGGCCTGATCCGAGTGCTTGCAGGCCTTCCGCCTGTCAGATCTGCGAGCAGCCGGTTGCCCAATGCGGCTGTGCCCGGATGCATGCGCCCCGTTTATGGGCGGGCGCACCGCCGCCGGCCGCCAGGCGCCGTCTGCAGTGCACTCACTGCATAGGAGCGTGTCTCTGTTGAGCAATTGATTTGACGCGCGCGGGGGCAGTTGGTAGGGCGGGAGGGCCGTAGGGGCCCCGTATTAGGATGCGGCAGCACTGTCCCACGTAGCAGCAGGCGACCGCGTCGTTCTCACATCAACCACGGGTGTGATGTGGGGGTCATCCACTGCGCGCCGGCTCGCGCCTTCAGCTCGGCCAGCGACTGAGCTCGCTCTGTGCTCTGGCCGCACGCGCTCGTGTGACGCCAGTCGCCGGCGGCCGGCCGCGCAAGGGGACCCCGTTTGTCCGGGAGGAACAATAACCCTGTTTGCTCGCCATAATGGCGCAGGAACCATGCAATCATTCGTTGCACGGAAGCCCTATGAAACCCAGAGCGTGTGCGGTCACGGGCGCGGTCCGCGCCGCCATGGGCCCCTCTTTGTGTTTGGCGCGTGCAGCGCGTCGCACACCCACCCAAGCCATTCTAGCCGTCCTCTTTGCAAAATATTGTGCTGCAACAAGCACTGAAGCGACGCACCCCTGCCTCACCCTGCTGCCCGGTGTCAAGGGCAAGGGCATGTGGGACGCGCGCGCCCCGCGCCGCTCCCCAAGTCTCTGAACCCCTGTGAAAAGGCGCGTTTGCGTCACGGCTGCCACGCCGCTTCCCTGCACAACGCAGCTCGCGCATATGCGCATTGTCTTGCCATGAGTTTGATTAGGTAGTGCTGTGGTTGCGTGTATTAGCCCAGATTTCGAGGAGGATGAATCACTTGTTTTCCCTCACCCCAGCTCTTGCCATTTGTATGCGCGCAGTGACACGAGAGCCTTTGCCCGCAAGCTGCTTCGTCGCAGAGCAGCTGTTCGATCCTGTTTGCGGTGGTTTGTTGCACCTCACATTTGTCAACCCGGAACCACCTGTGCAGCCCGCCCGCACGTCCGGCAACCGCAGCCGCCGCTGCGCGGGTGCTGCGTGCGCAGGCCCTACTTGCCCGGCTGCGTGCAGACCGAGCCGTGGTTGCAAAGAGCAAGCACAGCGGGCGCGCACGTGCGCCTGACACAGGGCGACAAGTGTCGTCACCTCTCGAGATTGATCCACGCACTTCACTCAACGCGCGCCCAGGCCCGACGGGGCCCAACCTCTGTCCACAACCCATGCCTCTCCTCTCGCCTCTCCCGCCCCTTCGCTCCTGCGTGTCCTTCATCTAATCGTTACCATCGGTTGCAAAATGCGGCTACTTTTTTTTACATTTCTTGGACTGCGCTTTGGGGGATGGCACTCTCATGACAGAACTGTGCAGTACATGTACTGTGTAACGCATGTGCCGCGTTTTAGTAGGGTACGGGCGTGTGCGAGCTTGACAATCATCTTCCAAGGCTTGGGGGGGTGTGGGTTGATTTTGATTGCAACCGGCAACTTTTTAACGCCGCTGGCAGTCTCAGCTGGGTGACCTCGGGGCACCCATGAATGTGGATTTTGATCATGTACACCCAATGAACTGGCTGGAGGAAATATGACTTGAAATTGGCAGCTCTGGCCATTCACCCGCTTGCTTGGACAGCATGAAATCAGTACATTGATTATTCTGCATGCATTGCAGAGGGTGTGGCTAGCCTCCGGGATTGCTGGCCCCGGCGTCCTGCTGCTGGGGTGCCTCGCTTTGTAAGTAGCAGGTGCCTCGTGAAACCATACATTTCTGAGGTCAAACGGAGCGGGTATGGAGGCAATGCATCGCACTTGTAAGTGTTTCGCTTGTACCATGACCACTTTACGTAACCCTGGAGGGCTGCATGTGAGCATTCCAGCCCAGCATGGTGCAGTGAGAGCGGCGAGACGCCGGACGGCAAACATATGCACCTGGCTCTTGCTGGGCCGCAAAGCGGCACTCTAGGCCCTCTAAAATGACTCGTCAATATAAATCCCAAGATAAAACACTCGAATTGTCAACAGACACGGCCAAGGCCAGCATTTGCTCGAGCTGCGTGTGTTGACCAAATTTCATGGCGTCCAGCCACGGTGACCAGGTCAGACCTGCCGCCAGAAGAAGGCAAAGTTCTTGTGAGCGCCAATGCATCGTGTTGCAGCAGCCGTTGAGGTTTCGAATACGAGACATAAGAGCCATTGATAGACGCACAATCGCATAGGCTCGCGACCTGCACAACGAACCGCCGCTGTCAACTCTGAACTACCGTATCGACTCTCGCAGGCCGTCAAGGCATCATCCCGTCAGATACTTACAAAAATACACAGTTTAAAGGTTGTGTTTCTGCCAGCTTTTGTCCGTTGCCAACGCCTGAGGCCTGATCTATACGCGGGGCAAGCCTGGTGGTTGGTCAATCAGACGCCTGAAGGCCTCCGCCCAGGATGACACCTTCTCATCGGCCACGAGGGTTCCCAAAGGCCATTGCTATAGTGCTCATTTTCGGCGCGGCAACATTCGCACGCCCCGCGGTTGGCGTGGCGCCGTCGCCCGGCGCCGCTCGCGATGGGTCGTCCCTCGAGACCGCGCAGCGGATCTCCGACCTGCCTGGCTGCGGCTCAGACGGCTCGCTGCAGCCCGCCACGGACACGTGCAACCTGCAGATCAAGCTCAGCGGCGGCGGCGCAACCAAGTGGTGAGGCGCCGGGCCACTCGGTGACTGAGAGGAACCATTACCAAGGAGCGTACAACACAGAGAGCAGCGCCCGGCCGGCAGCAAGAGTTGACTGGATGCCATATATTTAGCGCCCTTGGATGCATGCACACGAGGCAGCCGTGCGAGCTTCTGGTGACCCAGGCATGGCGCGCCCGACGGCGCGCAGTCAAACCTCGTCCGCCCTCGGGCCGGCCAACAGCACCGCGTCCCGTCCCTAGTGGCGCCGCGACAAGGCCCAGGGGCACATGCAACCATGCCTACTTGTGCACCCACCGCGTCGTGCACGCGCAGGTTTACGTTTGCAATCACCCAGGACACGTCACTTGAGATGACAGTCACCATCGTCGCCCGCACAACCGCAGGCGCTGTGGACACGTGAGGGCACGCGCAGGCGTGCTGGCATGCGTGGGCGAGCTGCTGGGGTGCATAAATGTTGCATTTTGTGCAGAAGCAAGCGCAGACTTGTGCTTCTACGCAGGGCCCATTGGCCGCACATATGAGCAGCCGATTTCCTCCAGCCTTGTTGATCCCCGCAACGCATGGTGCTCCCCAACCATCAACCCCAACTCACAACCCCAACCAACCCCTGGCTGTGCACCCTGCCGCGACGCCTTCATGCTGAAATCACTGACCAGGATGCTGTGGTGAGCCGCAACGCCGCCGCGGCCCTGTTAAAGGTTTCGCGGGGGGCCCCAAGCTGCGGTGATTTAAATGCAGCAGGGGTCCCGCCTTTGACCCATGCCCCGCCCAGGCTGGACTTGCTGTGCAGAGCGCCTTGGCTTCGTGAAGCAAGGGTAGCTGACCGTGCCGCCTCCCAGTTTACGGTGCACAAGGGTTGATTGCATGCCAGCCTTTGTGCCGCTGCTCCCCCCGCCCCTGCCACACAACCAACACACCCACACGCACACACACCCACACACCACATCTCTCTCGAACCAGGTACCCTGGAGAGAGCCCGACCTCGGCCGAGCCCAGCCACTACGGCACCAATGCAGGTTACAACCTGTCGTCGCCCTATGACGAGAGCCCCCCCGCGTCGGACACAGACTACCTCTATCTGGCAGGCCGCAACCGCGTCGTGCCGGGCGTGTATACGCTGCTCGTCGCAGCCAAGAGCGGCACGCCCGTCGTGCAGCTGCAGGTGCGCACAACAGGTCTAAACCCCATGGATGGTGGGAGCGCGCGCGGCGCAGCGGCAGCGGTGGTTGGTGATCTTTGATTTGCGGCGGCCTGGATCCCTGTTTTGGGCCCACTTCCCTGATGGGAGCCAAGCTTGACTGTTGATTGACTTTTTTCACCCCCACCACCTAATTGTCATATGTTCTTGTCAGGTCACGACCTCCAGCGCGTTGACTAGGATGAACGATGACGATCTCAAGGGACTCGGGCAGCTGCTGAGCAGCTGCTGCCCTCGCTGGAACCAGACTAAGGCCGTCGACAGCGAGAATGCAGGGGACCAGCCCGGGTGGTGCGGCGCCTTTGGCAGGAGCCTCCTCACGCCCTCTGAGGACTGTGAGTGGACACTGCAGCGCTGCGGGCACGGGCCAGGGACCATCGAGGACAGTGGGTGCCACACGTGCAGTGGCTGGGCCATGGAGGCTCCTTCCTGCCTGCCAATCCACTTTCGCGAACCAACAAGGATTGCACTGCATGCCTTAGCCATGATGCTGTGGTTTGCTGTGATAGCCGCTGGCAACTGTATCGCCCCTCATTGCAACTCTTTCCCCCCACACTAAACCCTGATGTACTCTAAACCTACCCTGAATCTGCCCGCAGACACCACCGACCCCTGCCACGTGCCGCCAAACCTGTGCACCACCGACGGCCACCTGACGCAGCTCATCCTGCCCCTGGGCGGCTTTAACTGCGGCGGCACCTTCCCGCAGGTGCGGTGCGGCTGCTCCCTCTGGTGCTGTTCGGTTGCATCAAAGGGGCGGAGGGTCTGTGCGGCGTGGCAAGTGTTTCTTGCGCTCTAAACTCCTTTTCGGAGAAGCTCATCCCCCTGCCTCGCGATTGACACACTCACACCCCCAGACCCCACACCCTCACACTCCACACTCCAACGTCAACACGTCCCTAAACCCCACACCTTGACCCCCTCACCAGGCCCTCGCGTCCTTCAAGAGCCTGAGGTATGTCGACCTGTCATACAACGTGTTCAACACGACACTGGCTGAGGTCGGGAGGGTCGTGGCGCAGATGCCTTCGCTCGAGGTGGGAGGGGGCGGGGAATGTGGAGTGGACAAGCATCACCGCCCAAACAACTATATATCTGGCGGGGCCGCTGGGCACAATGGTGTCAGCTCTTGAGAGGGCGCCTTGCAGGCAGCCGAGCGTCCTGGGCGTTCTTGTCTGCCGCCTCAGCCGAGTCCAACAGGAGCAACACCCCCATGCGTACCCAGCTCGCTGCACGTCTGCCCTCTCCATGCCCTGCCCCACCCCAGTCCCTCTTCCTGCGGGGCGCCGGCCTGCGTGGCCCGGCCACGTGCGACCTCGTCGGCGACCGCGCCCACGGCTCCAGGTGCGGTCTAAAGGTTTAGGGGGAACTCCATTGGGGAACTCCACTGCTACGGCAAGGAAGCCCTGCTGCTCCATCAGCCAGTGCTGCGCCATTGCGATCCTGCCTTGAGCGTGGGGGTTGTTTTGGCGCACTCCGAAGTTTGGCCCCAACCTGCCTGGTCTTGTGTCTGCAGGAAGTCGCTGGTGCTGTCCAACAACCCCGGCATCTCGGGCCCCATCAACCCATGCTTCACTTCCTCAGCGGTGAGCGCCAGAGCAGCGAGTCGTGTCCCTCCCCAGCGCTCTCCTTGAGTTCCCTCTTGACTGCCGCGGCTGTCGCCTGACGAGAGCGAAGCCTTCGGCCATGGCCCTCGCGACGTCCCTCGCCCCTGCGATGTTGCGCGCTCTCCCTTTGCCCTCGCCGCCCCCCACCACCCTTGCCTTCCCCCTGGGCAACCACAAGGGTGGCAGCACCTCTCTTGAATGCCCGCCGGCACCTGCCCTCGTCCCCTTTGGACAGCGCACATGCAATCGTCCGGGCGTTGACCAGTCAACATGCTGGCCCTCCATCAATTGTGAAACTGTTCATGGCACCCCTTGCAGGTGCTGGAGGAGCTGCAGTTGGACAGCACAGGGGTCGAGGGCGCGCTGCCACCGCTGGCCGCGTCCTCGCCGCTGCACTTCCTGTACCTGGGGAACGTCCCCGGAGCCGGCAAGCTGACAGGTGCGTCGCTGCGTCCTAGTACTGTTGTGCGCTTGATGGATTACGGCGTAGGTGCCGCAGACCAAACAATGTGCCACAGCGTTTCCTTGTCTATGCAAGGGCCCTCTCCAAGCTTGTCGTCATGTATATGTGTCGACCGATTGACAAGCCTTATCCCGTGTGCTGCCTCCCGCCTTTGCTCGTAATCACCACGCCGTAACCATCTCCAAACCGCAAACCGCAGGCCCCATCCCCCCGAGCTACGGCGCCGCCACGCGCCTGCAGCACCTCCACCTCCGCGGCCACGCCCTGTCTGGCCCCCTGCCGCCGCTGCCCGCCACGCTGCAGCTGCTGGATGTAGCCCACAACCAGCTGAGCGGCACCTTCCCAGACCTGTCTGGCGCCAAGGGCCTCGATTACATCGACGTGTCGAACAACAACCTCGGAGGCGCGCTCCCTCGGACGATGGCCTCGGACAACCCGGCCATGGATTACCTCGACGCTTCGAACAACAGGATCGGGGGCCGGCTCGACGAGGTGTCGCTGCCGTCGGGGCTGACGTACGCTGATCTGAGCGGCAACGTCATCGGCGGCGGGCTGTGGGCCAGCACAGAGGCCTTTGGCAGCCTGGCGCAGCTGCGCCTGTCCCACAACTCCATCAGCGGTGCGTCCCAGGATGAGCCCGCTGCAAATGAAGCTGGCCTTTTGCTTTGCCGCGCAAGATGTATTCGAGTGTAGACCATCAGCTGTCGGCCAGAGCCCTGCTTCACCAACCGTCAACAGAGCTCCAAGCTGCCCTCCACTCAGCTCAGACCGGCTGAATGGGCGCCACCGCCACCCCTCACCCCGCAGGCCCCCTCAAGCCGTCCCTGGCGGCCGCCCCCGCGCTGCAGCACCTGGACCTCTCCCACAACCAGCTGTCCGGCGACCTGTCGCCCTTCGCGGCCGCCATATCCCGCATGAGCAGCAACGCCATCGTGGAATTCAACGTCTCCTACAACCAGCTCTCGGGGGCGGTGCCTGATGGCCTGGCCCGCCTGGCCGTGTTTGACCCGTTGACCGTCAAGTCGCCCGACGGGTGAGTCGGCACACGCAGCGGCGGCGGCGGCGGTCACAGCAGGGGCCGCGAGAGCATGCACTGGATTGAGGCTGCGGGGAGATACTGCAGGCTGTCTTGTCTGGCTGGGCGCAGACCAGCCTGTTTTGGCCCAAGGGTCTGGGCTTGTCAACTATAAGCAGCAAGGTTTGATGTGTGATGGGGTTGGAGCCGAACCTATGGTGACAAGCATAGAGCACCAAAAGCACGCAGAGCTGACCCCAACCCACGACACTTTACTTTGTTTGACCAGGACGATCCAGGATCGCGTGTTTGACCTGAGGGGCAACCGCCTGGTCGGCTACTTCCCTGTTTTTGCGGCCCAGGCCATCCCGCCGATGGAGGCCGGCTGCCGCTGCGCATGTGAGCGGCGGCTGTCATAGGCACTCACGCCGTATTTGTTGCGAACAGCACGCTTGGCACCCCCACATCATGCCACCCTCGCATGCCACTGCAAGCGCAAACTAGCCATTGCCAAGCTCGATGTGGCGTTTGACCCCGCTGCACGCCCCCAGCTACGCCCCCTTCTCTCGCCACGCAACCAATTTTCTCCCTGCGCATCCCCTCTGGACGGCCCCGTCATCCTGCAGATGACATCCGGTTACCGGGTGACGCCCCTCTGGCCTGCCCCCCCGTACTATTCAGCCCGATGCCCCAGGCCGCCAACGTGCTGAAGTCGAGCGCCCCCGACATGACTTGCTATGCGGACGATGGTCGCGGCAACATGAAGCAGGTTTGTGTGCGTGTGCGTGTGCGTGTGCGCGCACGTGCGCACCTGTGTGTGTGTGGGTGGGTGGGTGGGTGGTTTCAGCGGGCACAGGAGGTCGGCGGAACGTAGAGGTTTGCCGTGTGGCTGCGTCAGCTGCCGCGCTTGTGTCTCCCGGTTTGGCATTTGTTGATCACTTACAGGCAAGCAGTGGCGGCCGTTGGCAAGCAGGGCTAGCCTCGCTGCGGCCCTCCTGCCCGTTGTAGCTCCTGCCGCAACGAACCATGCTTGCCCCCACCTTTCCTGTCCCAGACTCCCCTATGGACCCTGGTCGGCCACGGCGACGCCCCCACCTTTGGACCCGCCAGCCACCCCACCCCCGAAACACCCCGCAGCCGCCCCGTCCCCGGCAGCGCCCCCGCCGCGGCCGCGGCCGGCGCAGCTGCGGCCGGCGGGG